AAATTATAATTGCTTTTAATTAGCATGTGTTTTTCAGTCTGAGTGCCCATGTACACCCTTAGGCATAAAAAACAAAACTTTTCACCCTTGTCCTAGGCAAATAGTTTATAGGTGAATAACAGGAGATATTCAAGTTTTAACATAGCAGTTATGTGTCTGGGCAGGCTTGTTTGTTTTAAGATTCCAGGTCCATTATCTAATAATAAGACTTGGTATTTCACTCTAAATGTTGCATTTACAGAGAAATAACATCTCGAGAAACATCCATGACAGGTAAGTAATATATCTGTGAACTACTCAAAAAGTTTGATGAAATTAAATTGGCCAGTATTTCCCCCAATAATAGTTCCAAGGCAGGTAAAGATTCTCAGCAGAACAACGACCTAATGAATGTGAGCTTGAGAATAAAAATAGAAATAGGAAACAAAAGGAATATGAATAAATCCTGTCACCCATAGGGCTCATAATTTTTTTTTTTTTGCTTTTTTGTATTCTAGAAGGTTAATCTTTTATTAGCCACTTAAAAAAAAACATTTTCCTAGCTTTTAATTATAATTAACATTCCTTTCTATTAAATGCTGACCTTTCTTGCCACTTGAGTTTCAGTTCTAATTGTCACCAGAAGTCACGTAGGATATTCCCCTTGAAACAGAGCCCTTGCTGACATCTAGTTTAGTTTCTACATAGCATTTGTGGGGAAAAGTAACATGACTACAATAAATCCTCACAGTTAATAATCTAATTTTTTAAAATGTCCGTGGAAGAACTAAATGTCTCATCATGATATTTTTTTTGTGTGTGTGTGTGGTGAACATTCTGGTTGGAATTAGAAAAATATCAGAAATGGAACAGAACACTGCTTATGGTTTATACTTAAAATGTTCACACAGCAGTTTCCTCTTTAGTTTTATTGCATCTAGGGTTTAAGTTAGATATACCTTGAAAGCAAGTAAAATTTTAGTGCAATAATGATATTCTCTATATAAAAAAAAAACTTCAAATAAATCCTCCCCTACCCTATCCACTGTACTTGAGTGTTACATATTCTCTTTTGGTTAGTTTGTTCAAAGCTTTCTATTACTATACCTACAGGTAAACAAACAAACAAAAAAAATAGAATTCAATTCCCCAAAAGTAGATGGTGCTGTTGTGATAGAAATTTTTATTATTCTTTTTAATTTTAAAGCAGATTGCCCCCTGAAAGGGGCTGCTTTTTGTTTTGTTTTTAAAGAAATAAAGTTGGAATGTGAGTTATCTTCTGAAGTGAACTGAGTGGCTCTTTACTTCTAGTCCCACCCACCTCATAAGAGAGCAGGAGTATACTTGCCTCTATCCGGTGTGATCCTTGTGTGTCATTTCATTTTCTAATTAGAATCTCTAGACATGTAATAAGGGCCTGTTATGGGCAAAGAATATGAATTTGCTTGTGATGCCTGTCTTACTTTAATTGGCATTTCTCAATTTAAAACTCTGAGGATCTGGAGGGTGTGCCTGATTCTTCTAAGCCTATTTCTCTGGAAGTATTGAGGATAAGGAGATCTCTGTTCTGGTTTGTCCAGTCGGTTACCACATCACCATCTGCTTTTTGCTTTTCCTCTATTTATTGCCCTAGCCGGTTTGGCCTGTGGACTGAAGAGTCCCGGATTTGATTCCGGGTTGTGGGCTTGATCCCCAGTAGGGGGCATGCAGGAGGTGGCCTATCAATGCTTCTCTCTCATCATTGATGTTTCTCTCTCTCTCCCTCTTCCTTCCCCTCTGAAATAAATTTAAAAAATTATAAATAAATAAAAATCCCTATCTATTTATTTGTCTTTCATTCAAACCTTTTGGGTTGTACCTTATTTATTTATTTATTTATTTATTTTTTATCCCTCTACTGTCATTTTAGTCACTCTGCCTCATTTAACTAGAAATCCAGGAACCATTTGTTCATTGCTGTCTCTCTAGTGCTTGGCACACAATAGATTATATTTGATGAATGAGTGATTGAATCAAATGAATTAGAAGTATTTTATAGTAACGGGAATATATATATATATATATATATATATATATATATATTCCCATTACTATATATATATATAAAAAATACAACCTAAAAAGTGTCTTTTTAAATGTGGTTTTGCTTTGGCTTCATTACAATTTTGTTTGTTTGTTTGTTTCTCAACCTGGTAAAGGAAACTGTTTTGAAGTGTGTCCATCAACAAAATGAAAAGGCAATGTATTGAATGAGAGAAAATACTTGCAAGTCATATATCTGATAAAGAGTTGATATCTGAAATATATAAAGAACTCACACAACTCAATAGTACCCCCCCAGCAATCCAACTTAAAATGGGCAGAAGATCTGAACAGACATTCTTCCAAAGAAAGCTAATAGGTACATCATGGAAATGCAAATCAAAATCACAATGAGATATCACCTTACACTTGTTAGAATGACTATTATAAGAAAGGCAAGATATAAGTATTGTCAAGGATTTGGAGAAAAGGGGACCCTTATGCAATGTTGGTGGGAATCTAAATTGGAATAGCCACTATGGAAAACAGTATGGAGGTGCTTCCAAAAATTAAAAAGATTAACTACAATATGACTCACCAGTTCCACTCTGGATATTTATCCAAAGAAAATGGTATAACATAAAAAAATCTGCTCCCATGTCCATTGCAACATTATTCCCAACAGCCAAGATATGGAAACAACCTAAGTGCTCATTGATGGGTGAATAAATAAAGAAAATGTATATACATGCATCTGTATGTATGTATAAATGTATATGTATATACGAATATACATATTGATAATAGAATATTATTCAGCCAAATGAAAGAATGAAATCTTGCTATTTGCAACAACATGAATGGATCATGAGGGCATTATGTTAAGTGAAATAAGTGAGACAGAGAAAGACAAGTATAGTGTAATCTCAGTTATATGTGGACTCTAAAAATGAAGCAAACAAATACACACAAGCTCATAGATACAGAGAATAGATTGGTAGTTTCCAAATGTGGGGGGTAGAGAGTGGCTGAAATGGGTCTAGGAAGTCAAAAGGTACAGACTTCCAGCTGTAAAATGTATAAGTCATGTGATGTAATATACAGCATGGTGACCATAGTTAATACTATTGCATTGCATATTTGAGAGAATCTTAAAAGTTCTCATCACAATGAAAACAATTTTAACTTTGTGTGATGACAGATGTTAACTAGTCTTATTGTGGTGATCATTTTACAGTGTATACAAATATCAAATCATTATATTGTATACCTAAAATGAAATTAATGTTGTATGCAATTATATTTTAATAAAAATATAAAAAATGAAGTGTGTACTATTTCAGGATGGATAGATGTTTGTTTATTTGGTCAAGCACAATTATAGCTGTTATTTTAGGCTGATGATACACATTTGTCTGTTTATAGTTTCCTATAGATAGACTTGTATTGAGGCTGATTTATGTAGCAAGCACAGTCTTTATTTAGTTAGTTCTAAAGAAAATATGGCGATTATGGTATATAGCTTCCTAACTACCATTGACCCTTTGTGATTAATAGAATTTGAGAGTCACTGGCTTAGTGTGGCATCTCAGCCAGGTATATTTTGCATTTCAAAGTGAAAATGGATAATATCTTGTAGGAACAAAGATATTAAGCTGTGAAAGTGAGAGTAACTAGTAAAATTAATATTTTGAACAAGCAGATCAATACTCTCCTTTCTTAGCCTTGACAACAGAGGGTACTGTAGAAAGAAACAAGTATGATAGAGAGCTAATGATTTATCTACAATGCTGGATCTTGGGCTTGTCAAATGGGATACCTCCACCTTCCCTACCCCCAAAAAATGAATAAGTGAACATTCGACATTTACCCCTAAAATCAATGACTAATTCTAAGTCAAAATAACGAGCAAGTTATAGTGTTATTTTAAGCTTCTGTGCACTTATTTCCTCACCAATCTTTGGTATTTATTAAAGGAATCTAGCCAGAAATCCAAAGAGGATTCTTCCTAATTAAAGAACTTATCTCTGCAATAAAGAAGGAACAATCCACATCACAAAAAAATGGGCTAGTAAGATGGTAGACTAATAAAATCCCCTATTGAAAACTTCAGGGTTACAGAAGTTGGGGGTAAGGATAAGAGAAAGGTGACTAGAAACTTGTTGGAGTAAGATAACCAAATATATGGAAGTTTTCTGGAATAGATTCTCTACTGCTGAATATTTTTATGGCCATCTCCTTTAGAGATTCCATCTTCATTATCTGGTCGACATCTTCTATCAAGTTTTAAGGAAAAAGAAAAATTCCAATTTCTTTGACCTTTTCAGATAGAACTATTTGTATCAAATAAAGGATGGAAGTTGGTGGTCATGGGAAAAAAGAGGGAATATGAGAATATAAAGAAAGCTTTGAAAAGTGAAAAGAAGTCTTGAAAATATGATCAAGACTTTTTTTACATATAATTTTTCTTGTCATTTTGAATAACTTTTTCAAGGTGGTGATGGTGAGATTTCTAGGAAAAAAACGCACAAAGAAATAGAAAGCCAGTGAACTGTTTCAGACCTTTCATAGAAAATAACCTGGAAGGTGTTATAATAAAAGTGGTGAGTAGAAAACGGAGTTCAGGTTTTTCCCCCCCCTCTAGTTTTGTACTCACGTAAACACAATATGAATCTGTACCAAAAAGCTATTAAGAAAAACATTAGTCCTCTCAGGAGAACCAGATAATAATACCTGTATTAATAGTGACTGTAGAAAAGGCCAAGTTGCTACTGGAAATTTAAAAGAAAGTAAGGAAGGTTCTGACTTTTGACTTTGAAGTGGGAATACGTTTTCATTCTTTTCACTTCCACTTCACACACGAGTGTCATGAAATTTCGGTCATGGCTGACTAAAAATAAAACAAGACAACAATATCTTAGTGCACCTTGAGCTAGAGATGTAAATATTTTTGAAGGGTTCAAGAAAGCCAAACTGGTCCTCCGTGATGCAAGGTAAGAAGTCAAATGCTATTTATGAAGCTCGTTTCTCATTTACTTTCCGTATTTTGGGCTTATTTTCAGGCAAAAGGACTTCCGTGGAAGATGGAACGCTGTCTGTTTTCCAGAACCTGTTCCCAAGCCTGCCAGGGAAACGTGAAACTGCTGCTGGGTGCTGAGATGCTGGAAGAACACCTGCTGAGCTGCTAGCGCCTTCCTTCCCACTGAAACCATGGTCCTCTCCGCAGCGCTGACTGCGCCCCATACAGGGGCCACCAACACGACGTTCGTAGTCTATGAAAATACGTACATGAATATCACGGCCCTACCACCAGTCCAGCATCCTGGCCTTGGGCTTAGATACAATTTGGACACCCTGGCTCCCACGGGGATGAGTTCCTTGACCGTGAATAGCACAGCTGTACCCCCAATACCAGCAGCTTACCAGAGCCTACACCTGCCTCTGCAAATCATCCTTTCCGCGATCATGATATTTATCCTGTGTGTGTCTTTTCTCGGGAACCTCGTGGTGTGCCTCATGGTTTACCAAAAGGCCGCCATGCGATCTGCCATTAACATCCTCCTGGCCAGCCTGGCGTTCGCAGACATGCTGCTCGCCGTGCTGAACATGCCCTTTGCCTTGGTGACTATCCTCACTACCAGGTGGATCTTTGGGAAGTTCTTCTGTAGGGTATCTGCCATGTTTTTCTGGCTGTTTGTGATTGAGGGAGTAGCCATCCTGCTCATCATTAGCATCGACAGGTTCCTTATCATAGTCCAGAGGCAGGACAAGCTCAACCCCTACAGGGCGAAGGTTCTGATCGCAGTGTCTTGGGCAGCTTCCTTTTGTATAGCTTTCCCGTTGGCGGTGGGCAGCCCTGACCTGCAGGTCCCTTCCCGAGCGCCCCAGTGCGTGTTCGGGTACACAACCCACCCAGGTTACCAGGCTTATGTGGTTTTGATTTCTCTCATTTCTTTCTTCATACCCTTCCTGGTGATACTGTATTCCTTCATGGGTATACTCAACACGCTCCGGCACAACGCCTTGAGGATCCATAGCTACCCGGAGGGCATATGCCTCAGCCAGGCCAGCAAACTGGGTCTCATGAGCCTGCAGAGGCCCTTCCAGATGAGCATCGACATGGGCTTTAAAACACGTGCCTTCACCACCATCTTGATCCTCTTTGCCGTCTTCATCGTCTGCTGGGCCCCGTTCACCACTTACAGCCTTGTGGCCACGTTCAATGAGCACTTTTACTACCAGCACAACTTCTTTGAGATTAGCACCTGGCTGCTTTGGCTCTGCTACCTCAAGTCTGCATTGAACCCGCTGATTTACTACTGGAGGATTAAGAAATTCCACGAGGCCTGCCTGGACATGATGCCCAAGTCCTTCAAGTTCTTGCCGCAGCTCCCTCGGCACACAAAGCGACGGATACGCCCCAGTGCCGTCTACGTGTGCGGGGAGCATCGGACGGTGGTGTGAACATGGGAACTGCCTGAAATTTGGGGTGATGGTTGTTCTTTACTGGACTCTGAATTTCCTTTCACATGGCTTTTCCACTTACACGTTCCCATTTTTTATAGGCTTGTGTGTGTAAGTGTGTGTGTGTGTGGTGTGTGCAGTATAAAGAAAGAATGGTGACTAGTTATAATTCTGTTACCAAGGAAACACAATAGGGCAGTGATCACAGATGTTACCTCCAGGATTCAGCAGAAATCCACTGTTTAGGGTGGGAAGATGGTTCTTGTATCTTTGGCTGATTTTGTTTCGGAAGTAGGAATCAAGACTGTGCTTTATTGAGCCTGCAGTCACACTGAATTTTGTCAGTGTTTGGGATGCTGCTCAGGTGTGCTTAGTGGAGTTTATTCTTTTTCTTCTGGAAAACACTGCTGCTCTCTTGCCATTGTATTGGAGCCAAAAACCACATACATCTCAGTAGATAAATATTTACTTTTATTTTAAGAAATAACCCAAGGAGGTTAGTGACATTTCGAAGGTCATTAATATTTACTTTGGTGCACTTTAGGAAATAATGTACAAACGAATTCAGTTATGTTTTTTCAGAATTGTTTTTATACATGACATGCTATGCTTTAGGAGACATTGCATTATCATTTCTAGAGAGATCGTCTTAAAAAGTGTTTTATCGCATGTACAGTTTTAAAGGAGAGAACATAGACATGTAGATATTTTCCTAAGCACAATAGAACTCTTTAGAGCAATAGGGCAAAGTCAAGAAGACAGAACCTTCTTGCAGATTTAAATGGGATGCAGTGAGGAGTGGCTGGTGTGGGCTGTGGTGACTCCTTTTCCTCCAGGATTCTCACTGAGTCCGGCAGGGAGAAGGACCCACCACTATTGTACACCTACCATGTGCCAGGCACTATGTATCCTTTTATCCTCACAGCATCCTGTGAGGTAGGTATTATTTCTACCTTTTTCACAGATGAAGAAAGCAAGTCTCAGAGACTAAAGTCCTGCCCGAGGTTAGTCCTAGAGCTGGGACCCAGCACGTCTGTGGGAGTCCCAAAGCTGTGCTGTCTCCCTGTGCCACGCAGACACAAATCCGGCTTCAGACGTTTCATAGTCGAGAGGAGGCTTTGCATATTTTTATTTTTTAAGACTATAAAACCTTTTTAAAAAAATGACTTTTTTTTTTAGCTACTGAAAGACGTGAAACGAATACAGAAAGTGTGGGAAGTATAAGCATGAAATGAAATCACACAGCCACCCTTTCACAGCGGAACTTTAAAATCGTAGATAAATAAGACGATCAGGAAATAAGGTGACACTTTAGTTTACAAAAAAAAAAGGGCTGACGGTTATGGAGAAGTTCGGTACAGCTGTGTGTAAGTCTTGGCTTTGTGGGTTTGGAGGCTTCCAGTGGTCTAGCTGTCTCTAAATGATCCAGGGATGCTTGCCCCTAGCAGAGCTGGGGTTGGTGAATATGCTCCGAAGTGAGTCTCCTATGTAGAAGCAGAGATGAGCCCTGGTCCAAGCGCAGAGCACATTGTAATAGGGCTAGTCTGGGGTTTCAAACTATTTTCCTCTTGCTGATGATCTGACCCCCTTGGTGCATCCATATCCTTTGGTCACCTTCTTCCTGGAGCCACTGATATACTTGATACAGTAGCTGACAGGGCTGGCGCTGCAGAGCAAGCTACAAGGGGCTGAAGTGCAGCCCCGTGGCTACACCATGCGCTTTATAGATAGATAAGCAAACCATGAAGGTTTTTTTTTTTTTTTTTTTTTTTTTTTTTTTTTACATTTTATTGATTTTTTACAGAGAGGAAGAGAGGGATAGAGAGTTAGAAACATTGATGAGAGAGAATCATCGATCAGCTGCCTCTTGCACACCCCCAATTGGGGATGTGCCCACAACCAAGGTACGTGCCCTTGACCGGAATCGAACCCCGGACTTTTCATTCCACAGGCCGATGCTTTATCCACTGAGCCAAACTGGTTTCGGCACCATGAACTTTTTTTATTTATAGCATCTTTTTGGAATTTTAGTGTTTTGTGAACCTGTTTTTTTCAGTTGTATAGCCAGAGAGTTGGATAAGATGAATCTAAGGTCTGGCCCAACCGTAATGCTTTTCCCTCCGTGTGAGAGTGGAGATGTGTGAAGAGCCTCGCTGATGTTGGCTTCACTCTTTGGTCCCCAGTGTTACTTCTTTACATTTCATTCCATTAGCCATTTCTTAACATGGACCATCCGAAGAGCATGTGGCACAGGATCAGGAGCTGGGACTTCCAAAGTTGGATGACACCACTAAAGATCTGGGAAACCCTGCTTTTGCAATTGTTAACAGTGTTGGAACTCATCTTCCAGTTGAACTTTATTTCAGACGTGAGCATATTATTGAACATGTTGGTTTGGGGTCATCTGATGATGATAGTCACCTACCTCTTTGGTTTCTACTTCTATTATTCACAGGTAAAACTGTTGTGTCTATAGGGACCTTACAGAATATAAACACTATAGTAGATACTAGTAGCACATTGAAGTGTATCATGCTTTCCATTTTCAACTGGATTTCAAGCAGATATTAATAAGTGTGTTTGAAATTAGACTTTCTCTAAGGAAAGTAAGCATGCTCTGTATTCATCTTACAATATATATATATATATATATATATATATATATATATATATATATATATTGGCAGTAGGTCTTGAGACTGCTTTTTGTTTGGAGTGGAGACTGAGTTTTGGCTTTCTTTGTCCTTTTTTATGAGCAATCCTTAGGTACTTTTGTGCTGCTTGTTAGGCAGCGCATCATATGGTAAGAGCTCTGGACTGCCTGCTGAGATGCTCGGTGTTTGTGGAAGAAGAAAGAAGAAAGAAGAAAGGGGCCTTTGTGAGAATTGAGCAACACCGATCAGCAGTTCTCTTTACACTGGATAATCTTGATCAGATGACAGTTTACAAACAATTTTTGAACGTTTTTTATTATGTATACAATTTGAAAGCTTTAAAAAAAAAAAAGTACTGTGGAGTACCTTTGAAAAAATTAGGTGCAGACTCCTATGTTGCCTATTCCCCTGTATTTTCTTGTGGGGAAAATAAATACCACTACAAATTATCACCACTGACTGACATAATCAGAACTGTTTTTGTTTTCATTTTTCTTCTGGCTAATAAGTAAGCATGAAAGACATAGTGAAATATGTGTGGTCAAAAGAAATCCCCTATAGTTTGGAGTAGTGATATTCAAGCTTTAATATGAATATGTGTCTAAGAATTCCCAGGGGGGCATTCACAGATGCCCATTGCCTCCCGAGTGTCTGGCATTGGACCCAGGGATGCACACTTTTATTCTGTGGATACCCTTCCCGGTCCTGATGCAGGTGGTCCAACGGGCATACTTCAGTAATCATTTCTGTCGAAAAATGGGTACCCATTTCAATATTGTCTGTTTTGTTCAAAATGCTTGTTTTGTGTTGGAAGCCATTATCTTCTAGTGCATGGGTAATCTGAATCCAGAGGAAAATCTACTCATCGTTGTGCCTAATTTGCTGCCACGTGTTTTAGTGCTGGATCACACCAGCTGGCACAATTCTGATAAACCATCTCGTTTCACAGGAGAGCAGAAAGAGGGACTTAATATTTGAAAGTCATGACTTTCTGGAGCCTCATTCCTCTCATATCTTTTCCCGGAGAGGTGTCTGTGGTATGGAACTTCCTGAAGAGAATGAGGGGAATGTAAAGTCATCAGATCCCCACTGCTCTCTTTATGCCAGTCTCATTTAACGGAAGCGTGAAAAGAGAAAATAAGCTTTTCAAATCCATGTATTTTGGTTGCTAACAAAGATATTTACCTTTTTCTTGGTCTTTGCTTTTGTTTACATGAAAATATTTATGTATGTATCACAGAAAGATTTTCACTTGCTTGACATATTATTCTGCCATGATTTTTAGTTTAAAGGACTACTTATTTCGAACTTATTTTCTCAAGGACAGTCCTTCTAAACTGCCTTCATTGAAAACTCAGTTTTTATAATAAAATTATCAAAACACATGTTTGTTATTACAGGTAAATGGTAATACACTTCTTAGATATATATATATTGGTACTAGGACTTTGTAATTAAAAATAATTTATTTTAAAACAGTACCTGACCTGTATAGGGAAAAAAACACTTTGAATTTGGGACTGTTAATATTCAGAAATCAACAAGTATGGTTATTTGTGCATATTCTTATTACAACCAGGAAAAGTGCTCCCAATAAGAAAGTTAATAAATGTTTAACATTTCTAAAAGTGGAGGGTTTTTTTTTTTTTAAAGACTAGTTCATTCTATCTTAGAAAACTTGTCATGAATAATACTTTATGTTAAATTAAAATCTGAATTTAGTTTGAAATCTTGTTTTCTTTGGGTTCTTATTTTCATATTTGACCTCAAACCTAGTGTATGCATAACTGTACTCTAATTTTAGAAGTTCTTGGGATAGTTAAGGATGAAATGAAACTTGGCAAGAGAGCATTAATATTAAAACAGTTTTAAGAAATTCTGTCTGGAAGAGTTATAAAAATTTTACTGCTGAGTCATGTAAAATTAGATTGTCACTTGGAAAAACATTGACAGCAGTTGCTCCTATTTTGATAAAATGATTTCAACTACGCTTCTAAAATCCACTCTTAAATCCATAGGAAATAATATTTGTAAGTTTTAATGTTTCTCAGTTAGACATGGGGTTTTATTTTATTTTCTTACATGCAATAGCTAAATATATTTTTTAAGTTACAAAAGAAGGTTGATTTACAAAAGAAAGTTGTCATTGAATCTACATTCAACAGTTTCTTTTGAAATGAAAAGGTAAGGAAGATATAGCAAAATAGAGGAACATGTTAAACTGAAAGCATTTTCGCATCTACCATGAAAATAATGAACCCCACGCAACTCATTCATAATACAAAGAACCTTTAGGAGCAATGTACACCTTAAGTATCAAGGTGCAATAAGAGTCAAGGCCAAAAGAAAAAACAAATATTTCCTAGCTATATCAGTCAGCGGTTAGCCAGAAAAGCAGAACTAGCAGAAGAAATTTAAGAGACTTATTTCAAGAATTGGCTTATGTCGTTGTGGGTTGGCTGGGCCAATAGGAAATCTGAAGGACAGGCCATCAGGAAGGGAGGCTGAGAATTGGAGGTGGGATTTCTTCCTCAAGCCTCAGTTCTGCTTTGAAGGCCTTTCACCTGATTGAGTCAGGCCTGCCGCCTGGTTATCTGGGATGATCTTTCTTAATGTGGACTGATTATGGGCTCTTATAATACCTACGAAATACCTTCCCAGCAACACCTAGGTTAGTGTTTGATGGAATAAGTGCAGTATGTAGCCTACACAAATAGACACATCAAAAGATTATCCACTGTGGTGATAGCCACATTTATGATTAAATTCTCCTGTGGTGCTGTGGTGGTGGTCTAAAAATCAGTCCCATAAATCTCAGTGTTG